AGGAGGGAGGTGTGGATAAAGCAGAGTTGGGGAAGGTGGGGGCGGTGGGGCCAGTCGCGGGGCTCCATACCCATGCCCTCCTGCCCACTCCCCATCATTCTTGACGGGCAATTTGCTAGTACTAAGTATACTGGCTTGAATAAGGAACTGGGTACCACTGTTCCCCTTTTCTCTTGTAATAAACTTGTTTTAACATTTGCTAGCGAGTGAGCCACCCCCATTCCCCAGGAAATGCCAGGCCAGTTACTGGTAAAAGGCGGGTTGGGGTGCCTTAACCCCAGCTCCCACCTTTGGGTGGATCAGGTGATAATGGAGGTAGAGGGGGCCAGGCTACAGCCACCTGAGCCTACCCAAGGAGGGAAGCCCCAAGACCCTGAGTAAAGGGGGAGAAGAAATAGAGGTCTGAGGGCCCAGTACACATACAGACCCTGAGTGTTACCCTGAAGGGGCCCCGAGTGTGCTTAGACCCAGTCGGGTAATTGGCTGGCCACTACCCTGGTGAGGGTCGCGGGAGAGGCCCAACAGGCCGTCTGTCTGCCGCCCAAGGAATGGACTAGCTAAGCCTATGGGCAAAGGGTGCCTGCTCCAAGAGAGAGCAAGGCAGCATAAATTGTTGATGCGAGAAAGACACCCTGTGAGAGGGTGGAGTGAGGCCCGAGTGAGAGGCAGGTGGTATGACTGTGTGACTAAGGCCTGACAGCATAGCCTAAGCATGCTCCAGCTGTAGGCTGGGGGCATGGTAACATCTGGATGCCATCTGCGAGGGTTGGGCTGCAGCATAGGGGAGGTATGGAGCCGTGGACACCCCCAAATATTGGGGTGCAATAATGGGCAGCCTCCCGCCTTATTTAACAGCTTATTATTATTAACCAACAAGGCGTGGCGCGCAAGACAGGTGGGCACCATGCCCAGAGGCAGGTGGGACACTAGCTGTGGGTAGTGGGGATACCCACTTTGCCACACAAGCCATTGTCCTTAGTATAGTTGCTCAGGGTGGGGGTGTGTGCTCTGAGCTGACAGTGTGGCAGAGCCAAACCACACTTTGGGCCATGCTCTGGTCGGGGATGCCTGGGAGAATTGCCCAGTGCCACAGAGTCATGGAGTGGGGTGGCCCAACAAGGACTACCATCTCTAATCCCAGCCCCCAAAACAGTTCCTTATTCAAGCCATTATACTTAGAACAGTGGCTGGGGGACTGTCAGATAGCAGCCGGGCACAGCCAAACTGCCTTTTGGGCCGGGCAAGTTTCTGATCAAAGATGTCCAAGATAGTCCTCCGGGGGCACAGAGGTATGCCATGAGGTGGCCCAAGAAGGATTAGTAGCTGTAATCCTAGCCCAAAAGTCTGTTCCTTATTCAGATCCATATATCTAGCACAGTGGCTGGGGTGCTGTCAGTTAGCACCCTGGCACAGCCAAACCGCCTTTTGGGCTGGGCAAGTCTCTTGTCAGAGAGTTCCTTGGTAGCACAGAGATAAATCAAGGAGTGGCCCAAAAAGCATTTCTAAGTATAATCCCAGTCCAAAAGCCAATTCCTTATTTAAGCCAACGCATTTCACAGAGTGGGAATGGGGGACTGTCAGTTGGCAGCCTGGCATCGCCAAGATGCGCTTTGGTTCAGGCAAGATTCTGGTTATAGGCGTTCAGGAGAGTGGCCCGATGCTGCAGAGTCATGGCGTGGGGTGGCCCAAGAAGCATTTCCATCTCTAATCCCAGCCCACCAACCAATTCCTAATTCAAGACCATATACTTAGCACAGTGGCTGGGATGCCATCTGTTGGCAGCCTGGTATGGCCAAACCGCACTTTGGGTCAGGCAAGTCTCTATTCAGGGATGTCCAGAGGCATCCCCCCATGGAGCAGAGGTGTGGTTTGGGGTGGCCCAAGAAAGATTTCTGGGTATCATCCCAGCCCATAATCCAGTTGCCTATTCAGTTCCATACACTTAGCACCCAAGCCACCGTGTTGTCAGTCAACAGCCTGGCATGGCCAAACTGCGTTTTGGGTTGGGGAGGTCCATGGTCAGAGATGTCCACAAGTGTCCCCCTGCAGCACAGAGACATGGCCTGGGGCAGCCCAATCATAGAAGTAGGGTCGGAAGGGACCTTGTAGATCTTCAAGTCCGACCCCTCGCCTAGGCGGGAGAAAAACTGGACTCAAATGAGTCCAGCCAGGTAGGCATCAAGCTTCTTCTTAAAGACCCCCAGGGTAGGAGCCAGCACCACTTCCCTTGGAAGTTGGTTCCAGCTCCTAGCCACCCTAACTGTGAAGTAGTTCTTGCAGATGTCTAATCTAAACCTACTCTCCAATAACTTGTGTCCATTATTCCTTGTTATGCCAGGGGGCGCTAGGGAAAACAGCGTCTCCCCCAAACCCTTCTGGTCCCCCCTAGTGAGTTTACGGACAGCCACCAGGTCCTCCCTCAGCCTTCTCTTGTGAAGGCTGAACAGGTTTAGGTCCCACAGTCTTTCACTGTAGGGTCTGCCCTGTTGTCCCCGGATCACGTGTGGTGGCCCTCCTCTGGACCCTTTCAATGTTGTCCACATGCCCAAGAAGGATTTTTTGGTATAATCCCAGTTCCTTATTCAGTTCCATATATTTAGCACAGCGGCTGGGGTGCTGTCTGTTGGCAGCCTGGCATGGCCAAACTGCACTTTGGGCCGGAGTAGTCTCTGGTCACAGATATCCAGGACAGTCCCCGGGTGGCACAGAGGTATTCTGTGGAGGGGTTGGACCAAGCCGAATTTCTAGCCATAATCCCAGCCTGAATGCCAGTTCCTTATTTAAACCATTATACTTAGTACAGTAGGCATGGGGGCTGTTACTTGGCAGCCTGGCACAGCCAAACTTTGCTTTCCGCCAGGCGGGGCTGTGGCAGGGTTCTTTGGAACAGTTCCCCAGTGGCATCGCCATGAAATTTGGGGTGGCTCAAGAAATATTTTGCCCCCTAATCCCATCCTAATCTGACCTTCATTTAGGGCTCTGTACTTAATGTGGAATATTATTTTACATATTAGTTAGTATATATGCATAGTTAATGAAGTTATCTTTCTTTAGGATGTGGAATTCATTAATAACAATTTTTTATTGGGTCTAGATTAGCTTTGAAAAAGGAACTGGGAATAAGGAACCAACTTCAGCCCCATGTGCATGAATTTGTGGGGAGTCCCATGTTCCTGGGTGCCAGACTGGGGGCGGGGCCATATGCCAGCAGACAGGGGCCCCACAGCCTGGTCCCAGGTGGGCAGAGGCAGTGCGAGGGTCTGTTTTGGTAGGCATGTTCCCTCACAGCCTTAACACATCACCTTTGCTCCTGGCGGTGCTACACCAGCTAGCGCTGGCACACGTGCTATAACACGGGTTGTTGCAGCTGCGTGCTGCCTTGCTGTTCCTCAGGTGGCCTCTGGCAGTGAGTTTCCCCAGCTGGAGCCTCTGTGCAATGCCTGGTTCATTCCAGCAACTACGGTAGGACGCCTACTGTATTCCTTCAAAGACAAGCCCCACACTTCACATCGAACGTAAGACGCCCCACAACATGGATCTCACTCCGCGCATGCGCAAGCAGGGGCGCCCTGAGGGGGTGACATTAGAAGCGCGGAGCGATTATGCGCCTGCGCCAAGAAGCAACCTTCTGGCCACGGCGAAGTACTGCGCAGAGTGGTGAAGCAGTGCGAGCACCCTCCCCACCCGGGTGTTACCTTGGCTTTGGTTTATGCGCCAAAAGGTCCCGACGGTGGCGCAGACCACGGTCGTGTTCAGCACTACCAACACGCGGAACACGTTCTGGGCAAAGGGATCCATAGCCCAGCGCGAGCGGCCGCCCACGTATAGCGCGTATGACCCCACGACGCAGAAGCAGAGGGCGGCCTAACTTCCGCTCCAGGCCCCCTGTACCCTCCTTAACGCCGCGCGCTACAACAGTCCCGCCCCTTAAACAGCATCCACCCCACCCCTCAGCTACTGCGGAAGCGCGGCGGCTCTTAAAGAGCCCGAGGCCGTTGGGCGCAGGCGCAGTTCGCTTTGCTGGGGGGTGTGGTCAGCTGTTAAAGAACGCGGCTGCTTATTGCAGGCGTATAAGTGTTCTCGCTTCTTTGGTTGTGTCTATTGTGGTCTCAGGAGCCGCGCCTAGACCCAGAGCCCCAGGAGGAGATTCCTCCTTCCCCTTCCTGCATTCTCTGCTGGGAGGCCGGAGGCTTTCTCCGGGAAGTGCGGTCCCCGGTGGAGTTGTGGCACCAGCTCCGCCGGGCCTTGTTGGGTGGGGATTAGGAACATGACTTCGTGGGGGGGGGGAGGGGAGCGAACTGGGCTAATTTAGTCTGGAGGGGAGAGACTGGGGGGGGGGATGGGATACAA